GGCATGCTGCTTGCCTGCTAGAAAGTCACTCTTGTCAGAAGATGTGTATGTTCTCAAAGGCATCACCAGCCAGCTGAAGGATATGGTTCAAACATGACTAGACGTTTATTTTTACCAATTAGTGCAAAACATGGTTTGACAAACCTTATCTGAAACTTTCAAAGTCCCCTTCTTCCCTCTCCAGAACTAACTGCTTCTATATTTTTAGCTGTTCCTTTTGTGTTTTTGAATAGAATCTTTATAACTTGCCATTTGGCACTTTTAAAAGCACCTTCCAGTATCTTCCTTTTACGGTCTCTCTCTCTCTACATAGCCCTGGCTATCCTAGAACTCACTATCTAGACCAGGCTGCCCTTAAACTCACTGAGATCCACCTGCCTTTGCCTCCCAAGTGCTGGGATCAAAGTTATGCACAACCATACCAGTTTACCTCCCAATTTCTAGTATGTAAAATGAACAGAGTATTGCTCTTATACACAGCCCCCAATTCACAAATCATCAGTTGGATGACAAAAGTATTCAAATAGTGCCAGCATGTTAAACAGTAGGAAACTAAAGTTAAGAGCACCGACTGCTCTTCCAGAGGTCCTGAATTCAATTCCCAGTAACCATATGGTGGCTCACAACTATCTATCTGGTGCCCTCTTCTGATATGCAGATACATATGGAAGCAGAATGTTGTATACATAATAAAATCTTCAAAAAAAAAAAAGTTGATCAAATCGTGAGGGCAAAGCCTTCACAAATGAACTATCTACAAAAAAAAACCTCATTTTTTTCAAAGCTGGGTGGCGCAGACCTTTAATCCCAGCTCTTAGGAGGCAGAGGGCGGGCAGAGTTCAAGGCCAGTCTTGTCTATAGAGTTAGTTCCAGGACAGCCAGGGCTACACAGAGAAATCCTGTCTTGAAAACAAAACAAACAAAAAGAAACCAGGGATCTTTCAGCCATGTTGAAATCAACAGAACAGAAGCTAGATAAGCTAGCCACCTGCTGTTTTTTTTTCTTTTTCTGTTTTGTTGTTTTGAGACAGGATTTTTCTGTGTGACAGTTCTGGCTGTCCAGGAACTTGCTTTGTAGACCAGGATGGCCTCTGACTCACAAAGATCCACCTGCCTCTGTCTCCCAAATGGATTAAAGGTGTGTACCACCACCATCTAGCTTTCTATCTGCTGGTTTTTTGTTTTTTTTGTTTTGTTTTGTTTTGTTTTGTTTTGAAGACCCTTTCTCTGTATTGCTTTGGAGGCTCTCCTGGAACTAGCTCTTGTAGACCAGGCTGGTCTCCAACTCAGAGATCTGCCTGCCTCTGCATCCCAAGTACTGGGATTAAAGGCGTGTGCCATCAACGCCAGCAAGAAACCACTATTACAGCCGCCACTCTATATAGTCTAGACTGGCCTGGAAACTCAATCACTATGTACTATGAAGTCCAAACTGGCTAGATTTCCAACTCTTTGTCTTGCTTCAACCCAGCCTACTTATTCTCTAAACACGCCATAGAATAGTCACGGGACTGCACTACCATCATTCTGGGAAATCAATCTTTATCTCATGCATTAAGAGAGCCAAGAAAACTGATTCCAACAATTGGAAACAGCACTTAATTCCCACAGCACATGTGATCTACACTTCTCATTATTCCCTCCTCATAAAGTCTACATTAGTATTAATGCACTAGGGTAAAAAGGACTGAACTCTGCATGATCCAAGTCAACCCAGATATACCTCACAGTAAGAGCATACTCTTGAGTTTTCATGAGGCCCTGTGAAGATTCCTTAGTGCCAAAAACAAAATGTCTACCACTACTTGAGAAATCCCTGACCACCCTTGTAGGACCTATGATTCACTTAGAACCAGATGGATCATACCATCAATACAAAATGAATGTGACCACTCCAATCATCCTTTCCCCTCCCAAGGATACCCAAGACTGGAAACTGGGAGAGGGGGCACACAACAGCTAAAGGAGGAAAAGTGAGATTAGGCTTGATGCCCTACATTTATGCATTCACCACATACTCCACACCTGGTAAACAATTAAGAAGTAATCAGTGAAGTGTAACACCAGCTCACAGATGCTAGTTGTGAACAAATGAATAGAAGATTGCTAAGGAAAATGTGTTTGACATTGAAGCATTTTTCTTAAAATGACTCCTGAGGTTAAGTGATACCAGTACTATTTATACAACAATGTAGCCTCATGGAATACTCACTCACTTGACTGGAAACTTAGACCAAAATAATTGGGCTAGAGAGAGAGCTCAGTGGTTAAGAGCATGGCTACTCTCCCAGAGGACCTGAGTTCAATTACCAGCACCCACATAGCAGCTCATAACTGCAATGCACATAAAGTGATTTAAAAAAAAAAAAAAACAACAACAACAAAACAACCAAAATTCCAAACCACTCTAATCCTGGAAATCAGTTATATTCAGTTTCTGCAAATTGTTGAGGCAGGGTCTCATGGGTTGGGTCAGCCTCTAACTCAGTGGTTCTCAATCTACGGGTTGCAATGCCTGGGGTTACAACAGCCCTTTCACAGAGGTTGCATATCAGATATCCTGCATATTAGATTACTTACATTACAATTGGTAACATTAGCAAAACTATTTTTATGGTTGGGGTCATCAAAACATGAACTGTATTAAAGTGCCACCGCATTAGGAAGGTTGACACTGCTCTAAGTGGTTATGTAGCTGCAACGACCTAGAACTCCTGGTCCTCCTGCTTCAACCTCCCCAGCGCTAGACTTCCTCAGTGCACTATCACACAGTGTTCTGCAGTGCTAGAGATCAGGGCCAGGGCTTTGAGCATGATAAGCAAGTATGTTATCAACAGAGCTACACCATTGTAGCTCTTATAATTTTCAATTCATTATTTTCCCATTACACTTCCTAAGAGTTTTCCAGCAATTCAATGAATAGATTTTGTTTGAATGGTATTATGCAGCAAGGTTAGTCTTTGAACTCTGAATCATTTCAGCTTTCAAGAGATTACATGTTTCTGAGATTACAACAGTATCCCATGTGTGCATGCATGGGTACCAAAGTACACATATGGATGTCAGGGGACATGCATGAATGAGGTGGTTCTCCACAATGTGGGTTCCGGGTCATCAGGCTTGGCAATAGGCACCTTTACCATCTAAAGCAGAGTTCAAAGCCAGTTTGGGTGTGTATACAGCAAAAGCACATCTTTTATTTAAAAAAAGAAAAAAGCTCTGCACCACATAGACTGAGTGATCAAAACAATGTTTTCACCAGCTAGGCTGTTACAGGAACCATTCTTTTATGAGTCAGGTAAATTTTAATCCCTCTGCATGCTTTAATAATGTAAAAGTAGAACACAGTATATTGTGTACACTTTTAGCCCCAACTACTCAGAAGGTGAGGCAGGAGAACACTTGAGCAACACAGTGAAAAATCACCCAGGTCTACTCTAACAAGTCGATAAAAACAAAGAAACCATTTAGACAGGAACGTCTACTTGATATGCAATTTTACTTCATTTTTGAGGCAGGGTCTCACTCTCCTGGAACTCACTGACTCTGTTGGAACTCACTAAGTAGACCAAGCTGGTCTTGAACTCTGAGATCCACCAGTCTTTGCCTCCCAAGTGCTGGGATTAAAGGCATGTGCCATCACACCCTGATCCAAGTGCTAAGAGCTAACATCAAATGAACATGCCACAAAGCCTAGCTTGATGTTTCTTTTATGTCTGCCTCATATCCCACCCTACCAAAAAAAAAAAAAAAAACTCTAAAATCCCCAACACCTATGTCAACATCTGTGAAAGTATCCTCAAATCAAATATTAAGTCTCCATCTTGAGACTTGCTATTCCCAACTTTCACATCAAAAAATTGTGCTAAAACTCTTATGTTCACAACAGTAATTGGTTCTATTCATTAAAGAAAAAGGGACCAGAATAACTATGAACCTTTTAAAGACAGGCAGCAGTGGCAAAGAATACAATTCAGCCCGTAAGTAAAAACTTGCTAAGAAAAACTTTTCCTGGAAAGACTGAAGAGCAACACATACATCACTTAGCACAGGGTCTCACATCACAAAAAATTACCTTTGTCAGAGTGCTGTCACAATCCCAGACATCTATAAATTAGAATGAATCAATGGAATAGTAGTTAGTAGAAAAATGTGAAGTCAGCCAAGTCAAAATTGGCCCCTTTAACATCTTTATTTCCTACCTTTATCATTCCGACCTTTACTAAAAAAGCATGCCTGGTATAACAGTATTCAGTACTGGCCAAGCAAATAATTCTGAGACATGGCCCTATATATGCTGAAACATGGAAGGCAAACTGTTTTAATAAAAACATAACACTACAGCAATGGCTCCGCAGTGCAGTCAAACCCTTGTCCTAACTGTTGATAGTGAGTTTATCAATAACTTACAAAAGAGCTGCTGGGCCCTTTAAATCTCTCATCTAAATTCATTAAATGCCAAGCTATGAGATGCTTGTGGAACTATTCATGTAGACTTGATTTTGGCAGAACCATATGAATGGTGAAATGCACCACAAAGTAGTACTGGCCAATGGAGTAGCAAAATACACTCTGGTGGAAGCCATTCCATCATTTTCCCCAAAGATGAAAGCTACCTCTTTCCCCTCAAACCTTCACCTCTTTCCTGGAAATAAGTCAAGGGATATAGTGACTATTAACAGCAGTTACAAGTATATACAATGATTATTTCTCAAAGCAGTGACTAGTAAAGTTGGCTTTATAACAAAAAGTGGAACAGCAGGAAATATCTTCATTGAAACAAGGATTCCTGCTTGAGTTCTTCTGCATAACCTCTTCCCTTTATTACCTAAAGGTCCTACTATTTTTTTTTTTAATTTTTTTAATTTAAAGACCTCTACAGTGTTACTCACCCAAAGCTAAGTAGCTCAAACTTTAAACACACCCCATCTTCTGTTCAGGGTACAAATAAACAAAGAATCCAGAAACTAATTCAAATAAGAACTTTCTCAAAGCACACATACCCTAATTTGAAAAACCATTTATTTCACTGGAAAGGGATCCAAATCTCTAGGACTAGCCTTTGGGCCAAAAAAAAAAAGAAAACCTGGAGCAGTGATTCTCAGTAAGGTCATCCCCAAATCCAATACGCACTATAGTCAGGAGGCAGGGAAGAGAGAGCACAGCCACCACCAGTTTCTGCAGAGGCGGCATGCTGGGAGAACAGAGCATGAATGGGAAGAAGCTACAGAAGAATAAACAGGAGAACAGAAAACTGAGCAGCAAAGAGAATAGAAAAAACAAAGTCTCAACTTAACAAAGTAAATTAAGGTCCATGGTTCCTGAGGGACTGAACGCACAGAGCCGAGAACGTCCCGGAGATGGGGTACCACGAAGGGTGTATTCTCATGCACAACCGCAGCTTGGAATTTCAGCCCACACACATCCCACCTGAAAGAGAGCACAGTACAGGGGCTTTACAGCAAAGCTCAAAAGCGCTTTCCCACCTAGAAACTTCAAAGAACATCTTACAAAGTCATACCTTAATACTCACTTTTAAGTTTACTTGAACCCTTCCCTAGTATTAACATAATTTCTAAAAATGAGAACAGTCTGAAGGTCAGAGAATCATTGGGAAGGCTAAACAGTCCCCCAGTAAAGGCCTTTCTCCAAATTAAACAATTTTTTCATGATAGTAGGCGAAGACATTCTATTACTTTCTATGTTAACATTACTAGCATTCTCAAGAGATGTTAATCCCACAAACTCAGAGAACAGAACAACAGGAAAGTTCCAATTAGCCTCTGAGGTTAAAATTCAACAGTATGTTTCAATCTAAGAATTACTGCCAAGGACAGAGTATCAATCAAGAACTAGAAAAAAGTTGCATCAACTGAACAAGTTTGAAGGTTTATATATCCAACTTTAAAAGAAGGCACTGGAGAATGTGTAAACTACATCAAGTCAAGTTTCTCTTCCAGCACAATCCAAGTCCACGAACCCAATCAGTCACTTGGACCACCCAATGGACCTGGACAAGCCACATACCTTCTGCCTTAATATGAAAGATGACAAAGTATCTGTATACAAGATTAAGGGTCTATGACAATGTCAGGAACACAGTAGGGCTCCTCAAACCTAAAAGAACTGAAAAGTGCCCCAAGTACAACAGCAATCTCAAAAAACCTAGAGCCCAAAGCTGACAAGAAACATCAAAAGAGGATGTATTCAAAATAGAAGCACCACCATGGTGGTAAACACCTATCTCAGCACTCAGGGTCGAAACATAATTGCCGCAGTTCAAGGTCAACTTGGGCTACAAAGTGAGACTGTCATGGTCAAATGGATTCAGGTGAAGTTGTGAGTATTAAATGTCCTTAACTAATGGGAAGATGAGGAGGTGATATGCTCATGGTGAAGTTCCTATAAGCCTAGATGCCACTATTACCAAGGAATAAACACAGGTATGCATGTAAACTTACACTGCATTATTACCCTAATCAAAAGATGTCAAACCCAGGGTCAAAAATTAAAAATCTGAATAAAATAAGAGATTACAACACAATAGAATAGAAGATAACAAAACTGGACTCTTAAGAACATGAAGCTGGACTAGGCAGCTAAGTTGACTTTGAAGTTCATGCCAGACTTCCTTACGCTGAGAAATGTTTTCTACTATTTTATCACTAAGTTCTTTAAATGCCTAAGACAGAGAAGAAACCTTTGAGGAATATTCTTCAAGATTAAGATGATACCATTTTGTAGGTCTTCATAGGATTTGAACAATAATAACCAGTTAACTTTACATTAGTGGTCCTACAAACCTTTTCACAGCATAATGCAATACAGCAAACTCAAAAACAAACAAACAAACAAAACTAGTGCCACACAGCTAAGAAACTCAACAGACTCTGAGAAGCAGCTCACCTAATGTCTGGATCCCAGGTCAATTACAGCACACAGATTTGACCCAAGATTCACCAGTACACCATTGTTTGCTGTTCCAGACACAAATACAATGAGAATGACTCCCACTATTAGAAGTCCTGGAAAAATAGGCACAAGAACAAAGGATGTTTACTTCATACTTCAGCATTTAAGGACTTGTCTATAAACTGAACCATGATAGTAACCTCACATTAGCCCTACAGAAGGCAAGCAAGCAGAGCAAGCAGCCTAATTGGAGCCTTCTGAGGCCACAGGAGGGATGGTAAAACCGACAGAGGACACCCCCCCACACTCTCACCTCAAACTTTAAAAGGCTGAGTACCGCGCCCGATCCGCATACTGCTCCCGCTCATACCGGGCCATGTCGTACAGGGAATTCCGCATGGCTGCTGAAGCTTGGGACAACTCACTGTCATGCCCGTAACCGTAGCCCTCTCCAACAGTGGGGACTGGGCCTGCAGCACGACGCAGGGGGCTCCGATCCCGCCCGTAATATGAAGTAGAAGCTGCAGTACAAGCAGCAGCTGCTGCTGCAGCAGCAGCAGCTCCTGAAGGCGGCAACAGATGTCTATTGTAGGGATCGAGAGAGGTGGAGGTGAGGTGACTGGCCATGGCTGTGTTCTGGACTTGTGGCAGCTGGGACAGAGTCTGCTCTGCATAGTTATATGCAGACGCAGCTGCAGCTGCCACTGCCTCATAGGACCGGGCAGCACGGCAGCGCTTGTAGTAGGCATCGAGCGCTCCGTACGTGTTGTTGTAATACAACGAATCCCCATAACTCATGGTGTAAGGCGTGCGCACTGCTCCATACTGCTCATTATACTGCTCAGTCAAGTCAGCCACGCGGCCCGAACGGTCTACCGGGCACTCTTTGGACCAGTGCCCCTCTTTCCCGCACCGATAGCAGCCGCTCTGGTCTCCCATCCCGGGCGCAGTCCTAAGCCGGCTGGTGGACAACTGCACGTGCATTCGTTTGCCTTGAAGAAACAGACGCAAGAAGGGTTGCTATCACGAAGTAATAGCCCAAGCCCCTACCCCAGCCACTGGTCACAGAATGGCTTTACCTAAAAAATACTTGGTTTGTGAAAATTTGCCAAAAAGATTTTCTTTGGGGAAGGGAGAAACCCAACATACAGACCCAGTATAAATGACCTGATTTCAAGCAAAGGGTAACCAGATGAAGAAGAAATATTATAGCTATCAACACCAGCTTACTGTTTAAGAATTCTACTCTTGCTCAAAAAGGAGAGATTTCACCCACTGCCAAGAAACTAGACAAACAGCTACCCCAATGACCCAATACAAAAGAAACTCAAACAAAAAAGTGCTCCAAAAATTCGACTTTCTCATCTTTTATATCAAGATTACATTAAGTAAGAAAAAACTATTGAGCCAATTTTACGCATGGATACCCCAAATCCAAGAGATGCTAAAGTTACCATCACTTAAGAATGATCAGGATTTGTTCCAAAGCTGAGCCTGGCAGCCAAGTTTCAAACTAGAACTTTGGAATAGTCATGATTAAGAAAGGCTGGGGGCACAAGATGAAGGTCTTCTCTTTAAATTGTTCTTTCTCCTTTAATCATCCTAATAGGGATTATTACAATTTGAATCTCTAGTCAGAGGGTCAAAAGAAAATTGGGCAAGCTGTTAACACATACGCAGGAAGTGATTTTAATAAAAGAGGACAAGAAAGGAACAAAGAATAACCAACAATGTTAGTGAAACAAACTGCTCAAGAGTGGCAGAATTATAGCACTTTTTCCTTTAAGAGATAAGATGAAAAAAGCTGAGCATGGTTGCACACACCTTAATCCTAGTGAGGTTAGAGGATGGTGAAATTGGAGCCCAATCTGTGTTACATAATAGCCTGTCTCAACAATCAAATAAGAACTTTAAATTGTAAGAACATGCTCCAAACACAACCTTTCTTTGAAACTCACAATTGGTATTTTGAAATTGAAATAGTTCTAAAAGCCCTAATAAAAGAAAAGTAGCAACTTTTACAATAAAGATTAAAACGAATCCTCAATCTTTCACCTAAGAAATTTCTAATAATGTCAACAAATTTACTGGCAAATGAATTCAAAAGCAGTCTAAATACAGCAAATTTTTTACAATGTAATGACTCTAATGTACCCAAACCCGATATTAAAAAGAGATAAGAGAAGGGAGCTGGAAGGATAGCACAGTGGTTAAGATCTGGCTGCTCTTCCAGGAGTCAGGTTCTATTCCCAACATTCACATGGCACATCACAATTACCTGTAACTCCAGTTTCCAGGGGATCTGATCCCCTCTTCTAGCCTCCAAGGTGCCAAGCATACATGTGGTACACACCATGGCACATCACAATTACCTGTAACTCCAGTTTCCAGGGGATCTGATCCACTCTTCTGGCCTCCAAGGTGCCAAGCATACATGTGGTACACACGCACGCACACACACACACACACACACACACACACACACACACACACACACACACACACACACACACACGCTCTTAGGCAAACACTCATTTTAAGAAAGTAAAAATTTTTTTTTAAAAAATGACTAGAAGGATGAGTTTTCTAACAGCAGAGAAAGTGGTAAATAATCTCACCTGAAAAATCAAAATTAGATCCTAACAAAACACATGAACCGGTAAGCTTAATAAATCTAGGCTGCAGATCATCAAAAGAGCAAAGAGGCAATTAGGTATTTATAGGCCATAACAGACTACCCTGACATTTGCCCGGGATGGGGAACTTTAGGACATAACAAATTAGAAAAAAAAAAAGCAACTAAGAAACAAACATTTAACACAGAGTCACTCACTGATAAACGCCCTAATCCATAAATTTGTTGACTCTGATGTTCAAAAAAGGAACTAAATCTTTTCAATCTAAACTCATGTTTCCTTCATGTAGGCAAGTAAAAAAGAGAATATACCCAATTGTAATAACCTAGAAGGGAAAAGACCAGTCAGGTAAATACCATGAGACAACACAATTTTTGTTTGTTTTTGAGACAGGGTTTCTCTAGAGCCTGTCCTGAAACTCACTCTGTAGACCAGGCTGGCCTTAATCTCACAGAGATCTACCTACCTCTGCCTCCCCTGTGCCAGGATTAAGGGCGTGTGCCACCACCGCCTGGCTCACAAAAAGAACTTTCTTTAGTCCTGGTACTCAGGGCAGAGGCAGGCAGATATATGAGTTTAGCCAGGGCTGCTGTTACACTAAGAAACCCTGTCTTGAAAAACCACCCACACACTTCCACACATGCATGTGTGCGCAAACACACACTCACAGAAGAAAAATGCTTGAGGCTTGGGGAACACACACTTAGAAGAGGCTGGAGGCAGGAAAATGCCTTGAGCCTAACAAGGATAATTCGAAAAGAAGAGGAAGAGATGGCCTCCAGTTGTTGAAAGCCCTGTACTCCATCTTTACCACTGTATGTTTAAGAAACATGACATTAAGGGATATAGTGTAAAATTAACTAAACATGGGTTAGCACCAGAGCGTGAGTTTCAGATACCCAGTTATAAGAATACTTGCCCTCAAACAAACCACACTCTCCTCCCCTTATACACCACCAGTAGACACCACTTCTTTTGTGATTAAAATCAGGTATTATACCAGAATCCTCCACAAAAAACAGTCTTTGCTGCTTCCAATTAAGTTGTTGACAAAATAACTCTCAGCTTTCCAATTAAAAAAACGGAAAGCAAACTAGACCGGAGAGACCTGTGACATTTTTAATAGCACTCAGTAATGCCCATGACACAGGGCACTTATCACATGGGGGAGGAGGGAGGAGAAGTATCATCAGACTCTCAGAAAGGTTCAATTTAAGGGAAATGAACAAAGATGACAGTAAAGCACTGTTCAACAAAAGCATTACTGAAAAAAAGAACGAGCCACTACTTTGTGTTAATATAGCCAGAATCCAGGTTTGAAATATAATTCTGGGGGAATCTGTACACATGCTGTGCACATACACAACACACTCAAGCAACACACATAAAGTTAAATATTGAAGCTGGGGGATAATACAGTTGTGGGTTTGGTGAGCACTTTCTGCTCTTCCAAAGGACCTGAGTTCAGTCCCTAATACGTATATCAACATATGGCCGACAACCACGTGGCTCCAGTTGCAAGGGATCTGACACCCTCTTATGACTTCTGTAGGCCACACATAAATATTTCAAAATCCGTGTGTGTGTGTGTGTGTGTGTGTGTGTGTGTGTGTGTGTGTGTTTTCTTTTCCCCCTTAAGAAGCACAGCTATGAGTTCCAGGACAATGCTGTAAATTTGAACCTTAGGGAAAACTGTTTGTCAGAACCTTAGGGAAAACTGTTTCTGACTCTTGGAACCTAAAATCATGGGAAGTGTTGAAAGTTCAGCTGTCAATTCAATAGTCTTTTAAATGCCACTCTTGACAGAAAAGTTTTGATATTAAAATAAAACTAAATATCTTCCAAACCAATCAATAGTCCACATCAACACCCAAGCTGCCCTCAGGGCACAGAAACAATTCAGCTAAACAATAAACCAGGGCTTTATGATAACACCCAAACTACCCCACCCCTCAGATGTCTAAACCAATCTACCCATACATGCACATGAAACTGACCAGAAGACTTGCCATTACTGCTCCAAATCCCAATACCTCCTCCCTAGATTCTTAAAATCAGTCTTCTGATTCTAAGTGGTTTTCAAAATGTAACTCCTTGGCACAAATGCAAAACAAAATTAACTAGAGCCACAACCTTTCAAAAGCTTGTTATTTTTACTGAAAAGAACTGGGACAAGAGGGAAGCTTAACCCAAATAACCCAAATTCTGTCCCTGACATGTTGCTTTCTCTGGATTTCCCTCTATTGAGTGCAACACAATGGTGACGCTGTGTTGAGCCAAGTAAAATCAGAGTAAAGCACTTTGCTCTGTAAGAGGGTAAAAAGAAGACCAAAATCTTAAGAGAAATGACCCCCCCCCCAACACACACACACGGTTTCTCTGTGAAACAGTCCTGGCTGTCCTGGAACTCATTCTATAAACCAGGTTGGCCTCGAACTCAGATTGGCCTGCCTCTGCCTCCTGAGTGCTGGGATTAAAGGCATGCACCACCACTGCCTGGCAGAGAGAAGGGATTTCACAACAGACTCAAAAGCCTTAAAGGCCACAAATGAAAACCAATTGTGTTTTTTCCCCCTCAAAGCTACTATTCTCCATTTTAAAACTCCATCACCATTTCTTGCATTCTTTCTGAAGGCTTCATAAGAAAAGAGGTTGAGGGTCAGTGGACTTGACAAAGAAGCCTTTGTCATCTGACTTGTTATTAGGCCTGACCACCTGAGTTCCATCCCTGGGACCCACAAGGTAGGAGAGAACAGACACCCCTGCCCCAAGTTGTCCTCTGATTTCCATATGATGCTATGTCACACACACACAAAATAAACCAATAAACATAAAAATTTTTGCTTAAGAAATACTTCACTCCTCCTCTATCAGCCAGCAAAAGCTTTCTATCCCAAACCCTTTCTTTACTCATCCAATTTCTTCCTAATAACCACCAAAAGAGAGTGGTTCACCTTGAAACTCTGTGTTGTCAAGGCCCCTGATGGCCTCCACGGCATCCTCTGCCCGCTCCATGTGTACAAAGGCATAATCTTTCACGATGTCACATTCGATGACTGGGCCATACTCCTCAAACTTGGCCCGAAGCTCTTGGTTGGTACAAGTGGGGCTGATGTTGCCCACATGTAACTTGGTTGAAGCTTTGCTCTTATTTTTGCTGGCTTCCACATTGATGTTCACTCCGTGCAGCTTGTAGTGGTGCAGGTTGCGTATGGCATCCTCAGCGGCCGTCTTGTCCTCTATGTGCACAAAGCCATAGTTCTTAATGATGTCACATTCTAGCACCTTCCCGTACTGCTCGAAGAGTGAGCGGATCTCTTGCTCTGTGGCCTCCCGGGGCAGATTTCCAATGAACAGCTTCACCATCTCCACACAGCCTGCAAGTAAATCACAAGATTTTTAAGGGATGACATACCTTAAACTACCAGATAGACAGACAGACAGACAGACAGACAGACAGACAGACAGGAAAAGATACAGAGATCACTGCTATTACCTCTTTTTCCTCTAGCATATAATGCCAAAAACACTCTTAGGGGTGTGCCTACACTTACATCTCCAAACAATAACCAACAGGGAGTTCAACAAGAGAGCCTGCTATACTCCCAACAAGAACTTCTTCTACTAAAGAGATCTCTAACAGGGCAGGCTTTTGTAAACAAGAGATTCTGTGGTGCTGGGCATCAAACCTACATTACAGCACAGTAATTACAGGCAAGAGCTCAGCCACTGGGTTATATCCCCTGCCCCCGACAAAGAGGAAAACAGGACTGGAAGTTTTGAGTATAAATGAAAGCTACATATCCTGAGCATTTCAGCCCACTATGATGACCATTAGAAAACAAGATCCTAACCACTAGACTTGCTAATTAACTCTTCCTTTCTAGCAACCGTTTCTAAAAACGTGGGCCTTGCAGTAGCTAAGTTTAGGCGTTTCCTTAGGAATAGTGAACACTAGGATCAACCAGATAAAAAGTATGGGAAATACAGAAAAGTGTCCCAGTAAGGGAAATCCTTTTGGGAGACACATCATTACAACGAAGCTCCCACAGAAAGAAAATCTGTCTGGTCAAAGATAGGTGCTATAGAAGCAACAATGCCCTGGGCCAGGAAAAATTCTCATCTCTAAATCTAATAGTTATCTAGGCGGAAACCCCTGAATAGAAAAGTGAACAAACTAGAGGATAAAGTGGACAAAAGGAAGGTATTCC